ACTACACCCTTAGACACTAGTGGATTTACACGATGGGATAAAACCCATAGGATGTAAATAGGTCTTCAAGAAGAAGACAGACATGGAAGGTAACGTGCATACCTATAAAACACAGCTGGTTGCCAAAGGTTTCAAGCAAAAGCATGGCATTGACTATGATGAAACCTTTTCGCCAGTAGCAATGCTGAAGTCTACTCGGATGATCCTTGCAATAGCTGCATACCGTGAATATGAAATTTAGCAAATGGATGTCAAAACTGTTTTTTTGAATGGAAACCTTGAAGAGGATGTCTATATGACACAACCTGATGGTTTCGTTCTTGAAGGTCACGCATGGAAGGTATTCAAGTTGCAAAGGTCCATTTTTAGACTTAAGCAAGCATCAAGGAGCTAAAACTTTCGTTTTGACAAAGCCATTAAGGAATTCGGTTTTATCAAAAATGAAGATGAGCTTTGTGTGTATAAGAAGTTTAGTGGGAGCACAGTGGCATTCCTAGTATTGTATGTCAATGACATATTGCTTATTGGGAATGATATACCAAACTTGTAGATGATAAAGACTTGGTTATCCAAGTGCTTCTCCATGAAAGACTTAGGGGAAACAGTCTACATCTTCGGTATCAAGATCTATCATGATAGATCTAGTAGGTTGCTTGGCCTAAGTTAGAGTACATACATTGACAAGGTACTGAAGAGATTTAGTATGGAAGAATCCAAGAAGAGATTCTTTCTAGTGTCACATGGTGTTCATCTCTCGAAGGAAATGTGTCCAAAATCACCCGATGAGATAGATAGATGAACAGGATACCATATGCATCCATCATTGGGTCCATTATGTATGTCATGTTATGTACTCGGATTGATGTCTCATATGCTTCAAGCATTTGTAATAGATATCAATCGGATCCAGTTAAGCATCACTAGATCGTGGTCAAGAACATTCTTAAGTACCTAAAGAGGACTAAAGATATGTTCTTGGTTTATAGAGGAGAGGATGAACTCATTGTAACAGGATACAGTGATGCTAGTTTTCAAACTGACATGGATGATTTTTTATTGCAATCAGGTTTTGTCTTTTGTCTCAATGGAGCTGTAGTGAGCTAGAAAAGCTCAAAGCAAAATACTATAGCTGACTCTATAATAGAGGCAGAGTACATTGCATTGTCAGAAGCTGACAAAGAGGTAGTTTGGATCAGGAAGTTCATTACTAAACTTGGAGTGGTTCTAAGCATTGTTGATCTAGTACATATATATATAATGTGATAACAATGGGGCCATTACTCAGGCCAAGGAACCACACTCTAATCAGAGATTTAAACACATTTTCAGACATTTTCACCTCATTAGGGAAATTGTTGAGAGGGGAGATGTGCAAATAAGCAGAGTACCTACTGATGATAACATCTCAGATCTGCTTACTAAAGCTTTATCGTAGTAGAAGCATGATAGGCACTTGGCATCATTTGGTATTAAATACGTAAATGATTGGCTTTAGGTGCAAATGGGAGATTGTTAGTGTAGATGCCCATGAGCCAATCATATTATTGTATGTTGACACTATGGATCATGATTATTCAATCTATGAAAGGCATTGTTTATATTATATAAAGCATATTTCATATGTATGTATGAATATATGCCCTTAGAGTGGTTAAACCATGAAGAAGGAATCAAGCAATGATAAGTCTTGATTGTGAGTTCCTTATGATCACTTATGGTGGCCATTCTGGAACATCCATAGCCATAGCATTATCTTGACCTAGGGCACAGATAATACGTAGGTCGGGATAATACAGTAAGACTATCATAGCGTTGAACAACCCTACCAGAAGGTGGTGACAGATCTCACATCTCAAGGTTGTTTGGTGACAACTTGGTATGATGCATGGGTGCTTGTTATTCACGAGTTCACCAGACTGACCATTAAAGGATTCCATATAGATACCAATGTCCATGAATACATCCTTTAACAGATGATAGTGCATTTCGTCCTTCGACTTGAGATCACCGGAGCGCCATGTGTACCTATTGGTGTAGTTTGACACTATCCAAAAGTAATCCTGATAGGGTTATTAATACGAGAGTGATTGGTTATATCAAGAAGTACATCACAACTATGGTGGATCAATAAAGGATTCATCACTCCTATGTACAGGAGATATTATCTCGGTGAGATTCCTATGAAAAACAATGACACAGTGGAATCGAGTTGAAGCTCAGTTGGTTGATTGCTCCGATAACCAAATCTGAACATGTCAGTGGTTTATACTTGAAGTTGACATTACTTCTATGCTTCAAACCTTGATGAGATAATAGATGAAAGGATTTTATTACACGATAACCATACTATTGACAAGTGGCGAATACACTAAATCCGAATTTGTCAGGTGGCCATGATGTCTTTCTAGGGGCCAATATTGGTTTATGTGTAATGAAATGATTGATTGGGTGTTGGTCGCAATATTTCATACTACCAGTATCATAAGGAGCCTTCAGGTCACACACGTAAAAGGCAATCTAAAGAAGATAATATATGAGGGGCATTTTCATCATTTGTTGATGAAGGGGTATTTTGTAAATCTTATATAGCAATTAAATTTACTGGAAAGGTTGTTGCCTGGATCTAATCATATTGGATTTAATATGTCAGATTGGTTATTTATTTAAATATGTATATTGTTGTATATATATTGTAAATAAATGAACTGTCAATATTTAAATGTATATATCGGTGAATATAGGTTTTAAATATGAAAGAACATTATTAAAGGATAAAAATAATAATGGCTCAATACTTGGGATATAATTTTGTTCCGAAATTATGGACACTAATTATTTAATTAATGGAATGGTATAATGGTAATATACCCTTCAAGGGATTTTAGGGCATCCCTATAAAAGGGCATTTTTCCCTAAAATCAAATAACTCTCTCATTTTTTTCCTCTCTTCGCTGTTTAAGGATAGGTTCATTAAGAGATTTTTTTTTTCTCAACCTTTTCACCCACTCATCTTCTTTAGACTACACAAATCATCTAGTAAATCATTTGTGTTGAATCTTGCCTTTGAGTGGATATCGTCGATTCAATCCTACACTTGGATTGTGAGCGTTTTCATCCAAATCGAAAAAGAGGCGGAGGTAAGATTCTAAATCTTTCATGGGTCTTGGTTGTTTCAAAGCATGTAAACATCGTTACACTCATATATGGATTTTGGGGCTTATAGGGTTTTAATCGGTAAATTTTTGTTTTCCGTTGCCTTTATCTTTAATTAAATCCTAACAATGAGATGGTCTATAACAAAAGTGTAATTGATATTTGCTTATTCTTTTTATTTACGTGACGTTAATTGTTCGAATTATGCATGTAGACATAGTTTTTGAGACAAATATATGTACTGATCCCAGATTTTTTGTTTGTGTCTTTAGTGTTGAGTCTAGGTTAGGTTTGGTTTGGATGTCCGTGGCTATCATTGGTAGAAATCCTCACGAGACTACAACTCGTCCAGCTATGACCGCCTAGGGATTTAAAGCTTGTTGCATACACTAAATGCAACTGTAACAATCTGCGAAAGTGATTTATGATAGTTTAGATATAGGTTTTAGTTTGTTTAATTTTGTTTTTATTTTCAAGCTAAAAGACTTTCTTTTATCACTTAGCTTGCTAGGGGATAACAAGAAGCTGGTTGGGGGTTGTAATAAGAGCTGGAAAATAAATGTTTAGTTAGTGATTTGTTAAGATTATTCGTGGGAAGATTAGTTTAAATTGCAAAATTTGAGTTAATTATTTCATAAATATCTGCCCCTGCTCCTCACGTCTTCATCTCTCTCTCCTCCGCCTTTCTTCATCTTCTTCATCGTCGATTTGGCCTCTAGTTGAATCGCATCTGGCTAGTGCGATTATAGCTGAATTGCATCTAGTTGGTGTGATTTTGGCCAAATCGCATATAGCTAGTGTGATTCCGACCGAATCTGATTCCGACCGAATCTGATTCCGATTGCACCGCTTTGGGCCTAGGAAGCGAAAGGACTGGGCTCAAGTGCCTCTCCTCAACATTGATTTTTCTCCTTGCCTGTTTTGTATGTGCTTTGTGTTGCCATAATCACATATGGCCTAGTGCCATTCGACTAGAATCGCATCAAGAATTTTTTATTTTTTATTCTTTATGATTTGTATTTTGTGTTGTGTGATTAAATTGTTTAATGGATTATTGATTTTGGGTTTAAGTGTTTGAAATTTGTGGTGGTTTGTCATGGTTGTGATGGCTCTATGTGGTGGTTCTAGTGGTGGGTTTGGAGCTGGTGGAGGTCTATTGCAATTCTGGCATAACAGAACCCAGCTGGATGTGATTTCGGCCAAATCGCACCTAGCAAGATGTGATTCCAACCAAATGAGATCTAGGATCTAGATTCAAAAGAGTAAAGTGTATTTTCGTCTTTATAATAACTATCAATGTCAATTAACAGATTTCACTAATAGATATTAATGGTGGATGGGAAATTGTCTAACAAATCTTAACAATCAGTGGGTGATTGTCATTTTGAAACTTTTCAGGTGGGAATATGTCATGAGAGCTTAGTTTGGGTAGACACATAACATTCACCCATATAAATATCAATAAAGATTAGCTTATAACCTAATCTTCTAAACTCTCTTTCACAACCTCTATGTGGTAATTCCAGTTTTTTAAATGAATTTTAAATTTTAGGAAATTCATCAACAAAAAATTGGGAGCTATACTAAGCTCTACCTAAAGGGTTATGAGATAAAGCTTATCAGATTAGGTTGTAAGTGTAGTATTGTCTGGCCATGACCTCCCCTCATTTAGGCATACAATGATTTTGAGTCACTAACATTAAACTTTAATAAAATATTTTAATTAAAAGATCCCAAAATATTAAATTGAATATAATCCATCAAAAGTGATTGATCCAACGATCCAAAATTGGTTTCACAACTTATTGTAAGGCAAAGTAGCTATCCAAATATTAATGACATTAACATTAAAGCCAAAAAGATCCCAAAAATACACAGCTCTATTGACAAGGAAAAATTCAAAAACGAAGAGAGAGTGAGTTGAACTGAGTCAAGCTGAACTCGGTCATGTATCCATCCAAGCAGCAGGTGAGTCTCAACTCATTCCACGCTTTTTAATTTCAACACTCTGTTTGCTTGCCGAATTCCCAATTCCATTTTCCATACTCGCCCTTTCATTCCTCTTTTCTTTTTCTTTTTTTATCTCCCATTTTCCCGCATTTTCTCGGCATCCAAACATTTAGGGTTTCTCTTGCATGTTGGGTTTGTTCGTCCTGTATAGTCACCTACAGGTTTATGTGCTGTAAATTAAGGTTTGCGTGGAATCTAATTGTGCTATCTAATGAAAATTTCTGTTGGGTCCTAGTTTTAAAGCGAAGTTCTTTTAGCGAATTCTGGAGAGTGGAGACTTCTGGTTTATGAAAAAATAGATCAATTGTGTTTGTGTGAAATAGATTTGATATACTGCATGTATTAAGAAGAAAATAGAGATTCAGTGTTGGAGTTTTTTTAACTGCACAGAACAAGCTAGAGTATTGTTTAATCTGGGCATTTGATTTTTCTGAAACCCACAACATTTATAGGAAAAAAAAAAAAAAAAAAAAAGAGCACTGTATATGTAAAATGCTTGGAATTTTTATTTTTATTTTTATTTTTTTTTTAAATTACAAATACAAATAAAGCCCCCGGAACCCTGTTGTGGTTGAGATTTGATTCCAAGGTCTCTTTTACAACCCATGGAGTTTCAACCTGCTAAACTAACTTAATTGTTGGCTAGAATTGCTGTTGGAAGTTGTTTTATGATGTCCAAGAAACTGGGAAGTTACAAGTTTTTACTAATAAATTGTCAGATGTTGATAATACATCTTGCTTGGACGTTCAATGCTTAAATGCAAATTGTTCTTGCTATTTGCGGCGATCCTTTTTTTGTTCTTTGCTCATGATGTTGCATGGTCAAGTTCCTGAATTATTATGTCAAGCGTGTTAGTCCTTTCAGTGAGAAATTGAGGTTTTGGTGATGTAAAGTTACTTTAATGAGTTTTCTTTTAAATTTTCTTTTGTGATGCTTCTATGTAAGTCTAGCTAGCGAAGGATGTAAAAAGCTTTTTTGATGTGAAATACATTTTTTAGAATATTGTAAATCTTGGAAGTTTTTACCTTTCTATACCAATGCTAGTAGCAAATAATTTTAAGCTAAAAAAATACAAATATAATTTTGACAATCCCAATTTTTATTATAATTTATGATGTTGAAAATATCACTTTTTTTTTTTCATCCTTGAAGTCTTGGTAGTACTGAGAAGTGGTAGCATCTTTTTGTTTGGATGTAGACGAGCTATTCCCTGATTGCAAAGCAAAAATTTGTTTTTTAAAGTTGATATAGTTCTCATTTTGGAAGAGGGAATCTTTGGGGCTGTGTGTTTTAGACTAGTGCATCTTTGAATGCTTCATGCATTATTGCAAACTAATGTTGAAATATAATAAAACAGGAACTACCAAGCCTGTTATATTTTCCTGTTTTCTGGTTTTCTTCTTGTTGCTTTGTTTTGGATGGAAAACATGTGGCAGAGTCTAGGAGAAAGTCAAATCCTGTGCATGTACCAGTAATTTCCATCTGTAATGTTTTTGCTGTAAATTGATGTTTGCAAAGCCATGATTGTCCCTCTCATTTGCAGCTGTCAATTCAAACAAATGCTTTGTCTATCCAAGATTCATCAGCATCAGTGCAAGTGGATCAAAAGGAAACTTCTGTAGTTGGAATGCAAAATGGAGGAAATCCAGAAGCAGAAGCTATCTTTTACAATTCACAGGTTGTTTGGAAAAAAAAATTTCTTGGAAGTAGTTTAAAATTTTATCTTACTTTCTTTCTAAAAGAAAAAGCATATTTTGTTTTATACTTTTGACTAAGGATATAGCTAGATGCATTATATTTTAGTATGTTCAAAGTTTATGTTGTGTATGTTTTCTTAATAATATGTCCAATTTTGAAACAGAATGATCAAATGACATATGCTTTGCTCTATCCTAATCTTTGTAGAGACTTCAAGATGATCTACGAACGCTGGGCCTGAAAATCAAGCTGCATGAGGACCACATAAAACTTTTGAAGTCCCAAAGCTACAAGTTAGATGACTCTATACTTGAATCACAAGGTATATATATTCTTTTAATCCAGTACATGAATCAATGTATATCAACTCCATCTTGAAATTTTCAGAAGAAAATGTCAAGGCAAATAGTTCGTACGATAAACCCTGCAATCTAGCAGCTTAATCAAATGGATGGTGCCCAGATTCACAAGAATAGATTTGACAATTTGGATAGGGTTTTGGTTGACGTACTATAACCATTGTATTATATAACATGTAGCTTTCTATTGTAACTTGCACTTTAGCCACTAGATCAAGCACTTGCCACCTGGGAATGGTTGTTAGTGATCAAAAAAGATTCCTGAAATGCCACCCTTAAATGTAACTACCATATCATGTAGTGTTTTATTGAAAATCTAGATGGTAAACTTAGTCACACAGTTTATGCATCAAAAAAGGGAAGGCAAAAGGGATTCTGGACTTCAGGTGAAAGCTGTTTACTTGGAGAAAATCTCATTGACTTCAAATTTGAAGTATTTTGAGGTTTTGACTCGTTTTAGTTTTGTATGGCACACTTTGATCTTTGTTTTTGTATTTGTTTTTTTCTGATAAGCTTTCTGTCAGTTATTCTTGGCAAGTATCATTCTTCAAGTGGACCTAAGACTGAGAATGAGGACCATTTCAACCTTCAAAGTGAGGAGGAAACAACAGGGCAGATTCTCCAGCATGAAAAATCTGCTGCAGGCATTTTTTGTAAGCTGAAAACACGTCATGGCTCTCAGGCATCACATCTTCAATCAACCAAGGATGTTCTTGGTATTGTTGCTTCACTTGGCAAAGTTGAGGATGAAAATCTTAGCAGGTTGATTGATCATGTATTCTATCTTTTTCTTCATCTTTCTCTGGTGATGTTGTGCTTTTTGTATTGGCTTGTTTCTGGTTGCTTTTTCTTGTTTATAATTAACTGATTTTGTTGTATTCCATCAATAAGGACCTTTTTAAGTTTTGCAATGGCCAAGCATTTGTTGTATTACATGATTTTCTACAGACAAATATATAATCCATTGAATTTGTTGCCAGTAGATTCATCCTTAAAGCTTGCATGCTGTTGTAGTGTTGTTTGCTCCTGAGTGGTGAGTGGGGTTATGTTGTACATTGTTGCAAAGACGGTTAATGGTTAGAATTATGTTTAATTTCTAGGTTTTGTATTGCCGGAAAGTGTGACAAAGCTAAATGTTTTCACTGATACCCTATGCTTGACATTTTTTTCATCTTCTTTGGAGTGCAGGCTTTTCTCTGAGTACTTAGGAATGGACACTATGTTGGCAATTGTTTGTAAGACTTATGAAGGTGTTAAGGCTCTAGAAACATACGATAAAGAGGGTTGCATTATTAAAAGTTCTGGTCTTCATGGGCTTGGTGCTTCAATTGGGAGGACTATACATGACCGGTTTCTTGTCATATGTCTTGAAAACTTGAGGCATCAATTCGACTTCTGCTTTCCTTAATTATATAGACTTGTATTGCAGACATTCTAAATTTTTTTCTTTCTCCAGACCTTTTGCCGGTGAGTTTGTAGCTGATGATCCACAAAGGAGGCTTGATATTCTAAAGCCAAGATTGCCTAATGGGGAGTCTCCGCCTGGCTTTCTTGGCTTCGCGGTGAATATGATTGATGTGGAAAGCAAAAACTTATTTTGTGTAACTGCTAGTGGGTATGGCCTTAGAGAGACTCTATTTTATAATCTTTTTTCACGTCTGCAAGTATATAGAACAAGGGCCGAAATGTTACTTGCTCTTCCCTTAATAAGTGATGGAGCTCTTTCTTTGGATGGTGGAATCATCAGAAGCACTGGTGTCTTCTACCTTGGCAATCGGTAAGAAAGTCTGCCCCCATAACTGGGTTGGCAGATTTTTTTTTTTTTTATTTGGTGCTCTTCAGAATCCATTTTTTTTTTTTTTTTTTATCTTCTTTAGTACTTCCTATTAAGTTCTCTTAGATGCTGATTTTTATTTTGCGATGCTATTGCCTTTGGAGATGACAATCCTGCTCAATTTTGATGGACTATCAATTAAGCTTAACAATTGTCGTGGCATCAGCTATTGGACTGATGGACACACTTCCATTCCTCTTAAAAGTCTATATGTTAACTTGTGATTGTGACACATCTACATCCTTTGCTAGTATATTAATTATGAATCCCAGGATTTTTCAGTGATATCATTTTTTTTTTACCATGAAACAGAATTGGCCTGTATAACAGAAACGTTGTATTGTTAAAAGGACCAGCTTCCAATTGATTTTGATTAAAAAAAAAAAAAAATAGTTTCTGTTTGTTCATGAAAATAGCATTTGCAGTGTTATATACTTAATTTTCTATTAGCTTACTATAATAAGCTGATGAATCATGATTACCAGTTTTGTGATTTTTCCCTTTTGCCTTAATATGCTGTCATACTCTACTGAAAAGATTCAAACCTTTGTGCATGTTAATGCATTGACATAGCATCCAAAAAATTTGGTACTACTGTGGTTAATTTTGTTGACTAATAACAAGTGGGATTTTATTTGCCGTCATATTCTTGTTTCTGAAATTTGGACATATCTGATCTTAGGCAAGATATAGATGTGAGATTTGCAAAATCCTGTGGGATGTTAAACAAACCTGATTACTATGCTGCAACTGAGAAGCAGATCCAGGAGATGAAATGGAAAAAAGAAAATTTGATGGATGATTTGAAGAGAGAAACTTCACTATGGAAGGCTGCAAAAGATAGTTTTGAAAGAAAGAAGGAACAGTTGCTCAAGTTTTTGGCGGATAGCGCAGCCTATGCAAGCCAGGTAATATGCTTATTTTATTTATTTATATATTTTAATAAAGGAAACAAGAAGAATTGCATTAAAACTAAAAGAAGATAAAAAAAATGGACAAGCTAAACACAAAAAGGTGTAGCCTTCCGCATAGACCTTAGAGGGGTCATTCACTATGCTTATTTAATTTATAGTCTAACAAAGACTTATTTTGTAACTTAAATGGCCAATATCCAGGTTGGAAACAATTTGCTGATATATCTATCTTATTCCTGTTAAACTTTGTGAGCTAATTCATGATTGCAAGTAGCTCTCTCAATCACTTTATTGTTAGGCATTATTTTTCTAACAATCATCGTTTTTCTTTTTATATATTGTTCATAATCCCTCTCTTCAATTTTGTCTGCCATTTTTTCTTTTATTGTTTCCTAATCTGCTTTTCAAGAGAGTTTAATCCCATGGGTAAAGATTTAATGTAAAAGTGTTTAATCCCATGGGTAAAGATTTAATGTAAAAGTGTTTTTCTTCTGAAGCTTTTTGGCTCTACCAGTTCAGAAGCTCTTTATTTGTCCTCTGAAATTCAGATTCAAATGATCTGTTTTAAAATTTATGTTAGTTGGTCAACTCCTGTGACATTGAGGTTACTTTGTCAGTGGTGCTGCGACAAACTGCAAAAGTCTGCAAGGGCTTAGGAAACAAGGTTGGAGGATAGAGCTTGGCAGGCCAGGCAAAAAAAAAAAAATTGCTACGCAAGCAAGCCTTAAAATAATATTCTTACCAGGCTACCCACTTATTTTTAACAAACAGCCTTTTTTCACTGTCAACTTCCTTTTTATGTCTCATTTTTCATTATAAACTCTTGAAACTCTCACAAACTTTCACTACTATTTCTTAAACTTTCTGTAATTTTCTTTCCAATTCTTTTTCCCTTAATTCCAATTAATTATATTTCTATCCATCAAGTTTCTATTCGCAATTCATCTCAACTATCTCCTTAAACTCTAAATCTCTTGTATCATGTATATTTGGGTTGAATTTAATCTTTGCTTATCTTAAATATATTCGTAATTGGTTTAATAGTTTGATTTGATTTTATGTCAGGTTTGAATATCTTGTTATATTGTACTGTAGAACACAATTTTTTGAGTAACCTAGGTAGATGTACTCAATTCATACTTGAGCATTTTATTGAAAGCAAATAGAAAGAAAGCACAGAAAAAAAGAGACAAGAAAGAAAGTCTGCTCTTGACATTTCGATTAGTTGTTTTTATCTTGCTCTGCCTGTGAGTAAATTCTAATTGTTTTTTTTTTTTTTTTTCTAAATAAATGGTGTAAACAGATGCAGGCTGCGCAAGGAAAGTTTACGCCGCGATGATTTTGACAACAAACAAAGTCTACTCTTTAGCAACATAAAAATGGGGTAATCTTTCAGATTTACTGTGAAGTTGAAATTTTTAATTAGATCATTGTACTCAATACTCATTGTATAGCGATGGGCAGAGTTTTGTCCCTAACCGAGCAAGATTGAGTAATGGCTTTTCTGGGATTCAAGTTGTGAAATGGGATTTAGGTGTTTTAGGTTTTGGTTGGCCTTCAGAATTTATGTAGGAAAACTACTACAATTCATGATTGTCCAATGATGGCAAATGTGCACTGAGGAAAAACCAAGAAATGAATTTTCAATTTTCTTTAATGGATGCACATTTTAGTTATTTTGTACAGTGAATGAAGGCTGTTTTTGTGTTGCAGTATTTGCCCTTTTCATGTACTCTGAAGTTTTAATCAAAAGAGGGGCTTGCTTTTTTTTTTTTTTTTTTTTAATAATTTCTGAACTTGGAAAATCATGTTTTATGGCTTAAAATGTTACACTTCTATATGTTGTCAGCCATATTTTATCAGAAAATAATGTTTATTTTAAGGTAAAGTTTATGGGGTCAGCAAACTTAGCCTAATGAATACAGATCACAGTTTCTAGTAAACTAATATATATGATGGGATAATTGTACTCAAGAATTATTCTTTGAATATATTCCTGCGTTTGGCACACTATTTTTACAATATCCTATTCTACTATCAAATCCTAAAAAATGAAAAATGCATTTGTTTTAATATTCTTTAAAATTTAGTTATGTTTTTTTAACTCAAAACATTAACAATTACTTTTCTCAACAAAAGTTTTACAATTAACAAAAACATCCTCACCCACCTAAGCCACTATCATTCGCCAATAGTCACCGTCGTTGCCAACGTTGATTGCTAGCATCATAATGATGTACGATCGGTTGGATGTGGTCGGACGTGCATCGATCTGTCTATTTCCGAAAATAGAAGATTTGGATTTGGTCGTTGACAACAGTCATATCTTGGCCATCAACGACGACCCGATCTGTGGTCGTAGATTTAGCCGTTTTCGGCTAGATCCACCATAAAAGGCTAGATCGACGCACGATCGGTCAGATCCAGCCAATCATGCACCATCCCGGTGGCTTCCAATCACCATCTAGTGGTGGTGGCCTGCTGTCGACAATAGTTGGGTGAGTGGGGGTGTTTTTGTTAATTTATAAACTTGTATTGTGGGAGTATTTAGTTAAATTAACAAACTTAAGGGATTAAAAATAATCTAAATATTTTTCAAAAATGTACCAAAAACATTCTCAGAATCCTATCCTATTTTCCAAAAATCTTATTCAGAATAGAATGCTATTCTAAAAAACTAAGGCTTCATTTGGCTCACATTTGGGAATACTACTATTAGTATTCCCAATAAAGTTAAACAGTAAAATTGTAAAAACTCACAATATTATTCAACTTTTTTTAAACCCCTTAAACTTGTTAATTTAATTAAATACCCCTAAATATTTTTTTAGAAATTGCAAAAAAAACCCCAGCAACCATATTTACCAGATTCCGGCCACCACCGCAGGAAAATGGCCGGAATCTGGTATAATGGCGCACTACCGGCTGAATCTAGCCGGTAGTGCGTGGATCTGACCAGAAAATGCCAGATCTTTGGTCGTAGTTAGTCGTCAACGACAACCAACACATGGTCGTCGTTGACCATCAACAATAGCCATATCTTTGGCCGTCGTTGACGAGCAAATACGGCCAAATCTGGTCGTCAATGGTCAGATCTAGTCGTAGATCTAGCCTTTGCCGGTCAGATCCACTGTAGATCTAGCCTTTGCCGGTCAGATCCACTGTAGATCTAGCCTTTGTCGGCCAGATCCACCGTAGTATTGGCCCAAAAATACCATATCGGCGCAAGACCGGCAAGATCCATCCTGTCATGCATCGATACAATGACTCCGGCCACCCTCCGGCGGTGGTGGCCAGCTGTCCATGTGTTGGCAGGTGGGTTGGGGGTGTTTTTGTTAACTTTTAATGTTGTATTATAGGGGTTTTTAGTAAATAAACAAACAAACATAGGGAGTGTTTAGTAAATAAACAAATATATAGGGTATTTTATTTATTTTCAAATCCTACATCGTAATACCCGCCCAATTCAACTTTTTTTAACTTTTTTCCAAAAACTTTTCTAAAAAGTGTAAAAAAGTAAACCAAACGGAGCCTAAACAAACAAAATTTTTTGTTACATTTAGGGTACGTTTGATTTAGGAAATGTTGTATTATTGAGAATGTTATATTTATGGGAAGATAGATTACTTTGAAGATTACTAGAAAAGTTTAGGGAAATGTGTTTTGTTATATTGGAATAAATTGGTAAGTATGTTATATTTATATATTTGGTTGGAAGGAATAAATTGGTGGGTATGTTATATAGATTACTGAATTACCCTTCTATTTTAATATTATTATTATGTTATTATATTATTATTATTTTAGATTATTTTAACCTCCTTCATTTGTTAATTTAGTTAAACACCCCCACAATAAAAGTTTAAAAATTAACTAAAGCATCCCAACCACCCAAGAGGACAGTCGGTCATCACCATCGGACGGCAACCAAAAGTCGTTGAAACAGTGCAAGACCGACTGGATCTGGCCAGTCGTGCATCGATATAGCCGTTTTCGGCTAGATCCACAATGGATCTGGCTAGAGACGGCTAGATCTACGACCAGATCTATCCAATCGTCGTTAACGGTCAGATCTTGACGACTACCAAAATCTAACAGTCAACAGCCAAATCTCTGGCCATAGATCTGGCCGGAAACAGTCAGATCGACGCATGACTGGTCAATTGTGCGCCATTTCGGCCACGTCGATTGCTAGAGGGTTGTGGTGGTCTTGGGTGGCCTGAATTTGTTTTAAATGCAAGGGCATTATTGTCCAAAAACTTAATAAATTATGGGTTAAATTGTAATGGTAGATTTATATAAATTAATTTCAAAATAAGGGTATTATTGTCCAAAAATTTTATTAAGGGGTAAAATTGTAACAAAATTAACATTATCAAGTAATCTTAAAATCCCTAAGAAAATGGAGGTAATCAAATTATCACATATATAACCAACAGTAATTACTATTGGTTTTGGAAGATTATCGGAATCTTATATTTCTTGACAACCAAACGTGGTAATCTAAGTTAATGTTTTGAAAACATGACCGAGCCTTGACCCCGTCAAGGGCTCGATTCACGGTTTAACCAGTCTGATCGACATTTTCTTGTGCTCCGAAAAGTTTGAAATCTTACAAAAACACCCCTAAAATTACATTTCAGTCCCTGCATGTTAGAAATCTAACAAATACACCAAGCAATCTATTTGGGTTTTGACTTTTTCAGCCAAATTCTAGCTGATTCTGACAGCCAAAATTCAATCCGACACTACCACCTGAACCATCATCATCCACTCTAGAAAACCCCTCTAACCATGAAACTTAGTAACCCCCGTTCGCCGACCATGACTCACGAACACCGTTGCGATTGGGTTGATTTTGCCGGCCAAATTCCAGTTGATTTTGGAGTAAAAAATTCAATCCAACACCACCACTTGAACCACCGACCTTTACTCTACAAAATCCATCTAACCTCGACACTTGGTAGCCCCCCATTCGTCGATCGTGACTCACGTATTAGGTTGATTTTTCCGACCAAATTTTGATCGATTTTAGCGTCCAAAATTCAATCCGACACCATCCCTTAAACCACTAACCTTCACTCTACAAAACCCCTCTAACCCCGACACTTGGTAGCCCCTTGTTCAATGGTGATAAGATTAGGGATTTGGGTGAACAATGAAATTAGAAATTTGGACCGGAAAGGATGTTAGTTGACGGTCCAACCAATCCGATCGACTGATCCAGTCCGATTTTCAAAACATTGATATAATTAATATAAAATGACATTACTTCAATAATAGGGGATAAGCCCCAAGCAAACGCCCCCTTATAGATAAAACTATAATAATAATATCCTTAATATACTTTGATGGGTGTTTATAAACCCTAAGGACACCTGTTTAGGTGGGGTATTAATATTATCATGGGTTATTTATTTCAAAAATTAACATAAAAACATTTAACTCCCGAAACGGGTTTTTTTTTATATACCTTTGTGGATTGTTTAATGTAAAGTATAACAAAACCTTATGAAAACCATTAAAAGTTCCCTTTATAAATCCCTTTCTAAATTATGAAAAATCCCCCCATGAAGGGGGGTTTTTCCATAATTATAAGAGAGATCTTAACAATTTACCATTTAACCTTAGAAAACTATAAAATAAAATTTATTTTTTAATGGATTTTATACAATGACTAAAGTTTGTCAGTTGGCTATTTTTGTGGGCTTGAGTTTGGTGTCTTTTGTCTATGAATTTCTGAAACAAATATTGAGTAAACGACTTTTTCCCACCCAAAGTTTGCCTTAATGACACTTTTCCACCCAAAATGTTTCAAAATGCTACTTTCCCACCCAAAGTTTATATTTCATTTACTATCTAGAATACACTTTCCGATTTGGTAGCCAACGGAAAGAAAACTCAGTCCAGACTATTAAGGATTTTTAATAGGGGATGCCAATGAATCTTTTGGTGGTAGCAGGTTGGATTTTAATAGTCAAAATTGGTCGGAATCTGACTTAGGAGGGACGATTGTGCGTTACATAAATCGCTCAATTATTGGCAATTGACGAGACTGGTAGGAGCAATATTTGAGAGGTTTTGATAAGTGGTGATCGGAAAAGAGAATGGAGATGGTGTGGGGTCACAAAAATGCAAGAATTAGTTGGCGATTAGTTTGAATATAAACTTTGAGTGAGAAAATGATATTTTGAAACTTTTTAGGTGGAAAAAAAGGTCATTAAGGCAAACCTTGGGTGGGAAAAAGTCGTTTACTCAGAAATATTCCTTAATTGATTAATAAAAGGATAAATAATTAATTATTTCTAATTCCTTTTCCAAGATTGGTTGAAAATTAAATTAAAAGAAAAATAATAATAATAATTCAAATGTGGCTATTTTAGTAAAAACCCTAAACCCCTCTTATTTGCAGTACCACTTTTAACCACCTTCAACTCAACAACTAGAGCGCGTTTCAGAAATCTCCACTGATCTGGATCTCCATACTTTTGTAAGTCTAATTACGTCTAGCATTTATCGTTTCATTTTATAAATTATTTTTTCTTCTAATTTTTTGGAGAATCTAACGGATAATTAGGCTGATGTTGCCTCAAGTTCGAACTTCCTTCTTGTGCAAATTGAGAATTTTAGGGATTTGTGTTTTAGTTTCATTATGAATATGAACTTGAGTGATTGCAGCCGATGAACTTTGTGGTTGTTATTAGATTGTATAATTTGGATTTATAGCCATTAGAAACACTGTTCGTTATTGATTTAGATGCAAAGTTAACACTTGTGTTACAAGTGTTTGATGTAATGTCTGATAGAGTTACAAGAGTTAGTTTGGTTTTGTGTGATGATTATAAGATTCTTGAAGCTTCTGAATTTATGTGAAAAATATTAATTTTCTTGATTTTAGTGATGTATAAACTCATGCATTCTGTTCAGCTTTTCGAACTATTTATATTGGGGATAAAATGTAGTCAAAGTCTTATTTACGTTGCTTATTCACTGTTTAACATCTAGGTGTGGATTTGAATGTGAGATGGAGCAATCTAAGCACTTGTTTACAGGTTTCAGAGTTTCAAAGTACCCAATTTTTGTCCTTTAAGTTTTGCACGGCTCGAAATTCTCACCATTGATGTATTTTCAAATTACCAAGCACTAAATGCTTAATAGTTCATAATATGTGCAAGTGCTCTCATAAAACAAATGTCCTAGTGCCTATTATTTTAGTGAAAATGTTTTTTTAATGCATCAATAAGAAGTTGTTTCCCGTGAAATGCCAACAAGGAACGTAGCTCATCTGTGACCAGTGTCATTGGTATCTGGCTGTTGATATAGTTTATTAGTGCATATTGTTGCTACTGCATATGGTGATATATGTTTTGCTTTTAACTAACGAACAGGCCCTGGGTAAATATTTGAAGTTGAGTGAAATAGTTTTAAACTGCAGAGAACTTTTATTTACAACTAAAGGTCCTCATCAACATTCTGATAACTTGGCCTTTTTGTATCACTGATGTTTGTTTTGCTCTCTCTGAATTCTCAATGTCTTTCTTAAGACATAGAGTTAATTGAAATTTCAGGATAACTCCGACTTTGACAATTTATAGCACTATTGTTTTTTAATGAATGTTATGGTGGAGTATGTGTTGTTTGGACTGTGGGAGACATAAATGAGAATTAATGTTCTGTGGCATTTGTTTCTGGACTGAGTCAAGCCTAGTGATTACAAGGTCTCCAGGAATGGTTTTTACACTCTTGCGGAGAATTTCTTTTAATTTTTTTGGTTTACAGAGGATTTTTATGCTTTCCATCAGTAATTTTTCCCTTAAAAGTTTTTTTCTAAACAATAACAATTATGTTAAATGGACTAACCCATGTTTTTCCTCTCCTGTGGACAATAGGTTAGTAAGTTAATGGCAGGCAAAGCAGCAAGTTCTGCGGCAAAGGCAATTGGGGAGTATCAGTATCCTTGGCGTGAGAAATTGGCAAAATACAAAGATGAATTATCCAAGGGTGTGTGGGGTTACTGGCACCTAGGAGCATGGAAGCCACTTGGCATTAGTGCTCGTCGTAGAGCTAGACTTCGCAAGGAAGTTCTCGTGGCAGGGGAAAATTGGCCATATGATCCAGAGAGGAAAGAGATGAAAACCAAGAGGAAGGGACACAAAGTCGACAGGATAGCTGCAGAGAAACGAGAAAAAACCGCCAAGTTGATGGAGAAAATGCCGGAAATGTTGTTTGACTACAAGAAGCGCCGGTGGGAGAAGAAAATGAAGGAAGAGGAAAAAGCCAAAGAAGATAAAGCCAAAGAAGATAAGTAAAATTTCAATTGTTGGGTTGTTATTCCATTTCGATGAAATGTTGCTTCTGATGTGCTTTATGATCACTGAGTAATTTCGCATAATGTGCTGATGATTTTTCTTTCCATTCTTGCTTGGTTTAATTGGCATAAAATACTGGAAATGAGCTAAAGAACATTATAAGTAGACAAGAAATTTTAGCCTTCGTTACTCCTTGAAATTTGTATTCTTCAATAGATGTATGCAAATCTCTGACCTTATTTTCAAAATGTTACAAATTTATCATATTTTATATTAGGATTTGTGGTGGCTATATGCTTGATATATATGTTTAAATTGTGGGTAAATCCTTGTAAAAAAAAAAAAAANGGCTATTAAATGATGTGACTTCCTTATATAGTCAATTAAAGACCTTGGAGTAATTGGGGTAGTAGTGGACTACCTTATCAGAGTTCAAGTAGGAGTGCGATCCGTAGGTGATTGTAGGCTCCGAATTTAACCATAAACTGAGAAGGTGTGCTGGGATCAGGAGGTCCGAGTCCAGATGGTATGGACCAACTGTACTTCATACCAAATGGGCCTCATCTGGGGAATTATGGCTTGGGCCGCATCAGGACTTGGCCTAGGCTTTCCTCTTTGTTAGAAGTGTTCCCCTATTTGGGCCAAGGACATTTTTTGGCCGCAACAGTTTGCCCCCTACTCTCTAAGTTAAGGGATGCTTAACCTAGAAAGTAGGAATCGCCTGCGACATCTTCGGTCGGCCTTCATGGTCGATCGATTACTGGCATGTTCGTGCTCGTAGTTGGTGAGGTCTTCGGTGCGACTAACCAGTCGGATGGAGGCGACATGTTGTCAAGAGTCACTCGCTGCCTTTCACCGAGTCAAGGTGTGTAACCAGCCCCAGGGGTATCGCCAATCTGTGTATGGAGCCGAGTGGACTGGTGTATGCGCGAAACGTCTCGTGCACACGTATTTGCTTGGTGTGTCCAATCGGGTGCAGAAATGAATGTATTATCTATTGAGAATGCCTTCAATTTGAGTGTCAGGCCGAGTGAGTGAACGAATGAATTATTGACTGAGCGTGCATTCGCTTGGCGTCTTAGACAGAATGAGTGAATGAATGAGTTATCTACTTTAGGTGCACTCGCTCGGTGTCTTAGACCGAATGAGTGAATGAATGAGTTATCTACTTAAGGTGCACTCGTTCGGTGTGCCAGGGTGAATGGGTGAATGGGTGAATGAGTAAGTTATCTATTGAAAGTGCATCCACTCGGTGCTTTTCGACCGAACGGGCGAAATGGGCCGATGTAGTTATGAAGCCTTAGGCGGATTGGTCGAAGCCGAGCCAAGGGATGTGCACATGCTCACATACCCTTCACGATCGGCTCGTCCTTCGGGGATGACCGGATAGCTTGGTACCTTTCTTTTTTTCCAGCGCTTGTTTCGAGGCAAGAGGCAAGGTTGAAAATTCTGGGCTGGTTGTCCTGCCTGAGGAATCTCTTGAACAGGTAAAGTGCCGAGTAACGTTGCCTTTGTCGCAGGTGATTGATATGCCTGTATATGCTAGCTTGGTCGGATAAGTTGGGCAATTAAACGTGGCTCTTGTACGGGATTGTGATTTCCTAGGTGTCACGGATCTCCTCCACGTGTACGGTGGTGATTTGGTCTTTGTTTTGGGC